TTGACCAGGATGGTCTCGATCTCTTGACCTCGTGATCCACCCGACTCGGCCTCCCAAAGTGCTGGGATTACAGGCTTGAGCCACCGCGCCCGGCTCTGCAGCACTTTAAAGGACGGTGTCTTTTTCTTTTTCGTACAAGAGAATAGGACTTTATTAGCATTGGTGCAGGTTTGTATTACACAGGAATGGGTTCTTAGCATGCACACGCCCAGCGGCGCTTAGAGCAGATAAATCATAGCAGAAACAGTATTGCCCTTGGACTTTCAATCAAAAGCTGGAAGTCCACCTTACAGAAAGACAAAAAGAAACCCCCTTTTTATATCTTAACAAAGGGACAGCTCTCAAGCAGCAGAGCATCTCGAGGGAAAAAGCTTGCCCGGTCGCCATCCATCATGCTAGAGCGTGCCATGTCCACCCTGGACCACACTGGGGAGTTCCTGATTTTTTGAAAAACTTAACTGAAGGATTTCTGATGTCTATCTTTTAGAGTTCTGTATGTTCCCATTTTTTATTCTGAATTTAGAATTGCAAATAACTGTACAAGCCAGTCTTTGAGTGCATGGGGGTGGGTGTGAGGCGGGTGGTGGGGGCAGTGTTTCCTGTGGAGCGGTGGCTGGTTTCTCCTGAGCCCAGCCCTGGGAGGCCGTGGTAGGCATGGAGGCTGCAGAGCTCTCCAGATGCTGCCCTCACTGTGCCTCACACCAGAGAGGACAGAAGTGGCTCTGGTGTCTGGCTGTGGTTGAGCTGAAACAGACAAGGCCGACACACAGCTGGGGCCCGTGGTCCACCAGTGGTAGTGACTCCGGAGGAAGAGCAACAGGGAGGATGATATGGGAGCTGAGGCTTCTTTTCAGCATGGCAGCTGGCCAGGAAGCAGGGGGAAGAGCCTGGTCACCATGGTCCCAGAGCCCCTGTCACTAGGCTCCTCCTTTGCAGCTAAAGAGGATGAGGGCGTGAGAGGGGCTGTGTGTGTCCTGCCTGGGGAGCTACTGCCAGGTGATAGCAGAGTTGGGTTTGAAGCCCAGGCCTCCCTTACCAACCCACTGGTCTTGCTGTTTCAGCAAGGAAGGCTGGGACCCCTGGGAGCTGGGGAAAGGTGACTGACTGCCCTGGTTCTGGGTGACTCCCTACCCCCGGGCCCCCAGCTGTCATCAGTGGGGCAAGGACACATTAAACAGGTCTGAGTTGGAGAGGACCTCCCCTCCCCACTGCCTCCCACAGGGGCTCGTGATTCAGGGTTTCAGGAGCAGGGCTGGCTCTCCCGCCTCAGATGGAAGAAGTGGACTTGGCTGTGAGCTCCAGGAGGGCAGAGCTCCCAGCCTTTCATCCGCAGCCATAGCCCTGGCCCCTAGGATGTGGCCTGGCCACAGATACTAATTTTTTTTTTTGCCTCAGCCTCCCGAGTAGCTGGGATTATAAGCATGTGCCACCATGCCCCGCTAATTTTGTATTTTTAATAGAGACAGTGTTTCTCCAGGTTGGTCAGGCTGGTCTCAAACTCCGACCTATGATTCACCCACCTTGGCCTCCCAAAGTGCTGGGATTACAGGTGTGAGCCACTACGGAGGGCTGGGCTTCAAAAAAAGATGAAGTTTTGCTCTTGTTGCCCAGGCTGGAGTACAGTGGCGAGATCTCGGCTCACTGCAACCTCTGCCTCCTGGATTCAAGCGATTCTCCTGCCTCAGCCTCCCAAGCAGCTGAGATTACAGGCATGTGCCACCATTCCCCGCTAATTTTGCATTTTTAGTAGAGATGGGGTTCCTCCATGTTGATCAGGCTGGTCTCGAACTCCCGACCTTAGCTGATCTGCCTGCCTTGACTTCCCAAAGTGCTGGGATTATAGGTGTGAGCTACCGCGCCTGGCTCTGGCCTTATGTTTTTCAAAGTGAGGGAACAAATGAATAAATGACCACCATGTTAGGAGCTGGCTTTAAGCAGAATTGTAAAGTGGACCAAGCTTGCTCTCAAGGTCACCTTGAGCCCTGGTTGCTGTGTCCTGCCCTCTCAGGGTCATTTCCCAGCTCCCAGGCACCTGCTCACAGAGGCTGCATCTGGGCCCCCTCCATCCCTCCATCCTAAGATTCTCCTCTGACTTAGAACCCGGCAGTAGGGAGAGAATGTGTCTCAGGAGGGTGGAGTTAGGTGATCTCGGCCTTCCTGGCATCTGAGGGGAGACAGCTTTGTGTAGCAAAGTATGATTTCCTCTGAGCCCCAGGAAAGATTGGTCTTGGCTGGAATATATTGAACCATGGGGGTCAGTGAGTCCTGGGGGCAAGCTCTGAGGGGTAGGCCTGGGACAGGGGCCGGGAAGCTGGGGCTGGGCGCTCGGTGACTGGGGTTCTAGCAGAGGGGAGTGCTCAGGGTCCTGGAAAGGGCATTTTCCTGATGTTGGGCCAGAAGTCCTCAGGAGCCTCCAGCTGTGTGGTGAGAGGGAGGACGGAGCAGCCGGCAGGAGTGGCCACCTCTTCCTGCTTGGCGAGCAGACGGGCCCCCCATACCCTGATGGTCAGGATCTGCCCCCTTCCCTCCCCGCAGCTGGGAGCCTGGACTCACCTGGCCGGCTGAGTTCTCATCAGAGGTCAGGGCTGTGGATACACTGGAGAGGACTGGACATGGTCCCACACACCCCGAGGGCCTGTCATAGGGACAGTGTCAGGGCTGAGACCTTGGCCCCCTCAGCTCCCCACGTCCAGCTCCTCTGGGAAAGAACAGCACTCACTCCACCTGCCACCTAGCGGGCGCTCCCTGTGTGACTCCGCAGACCCCTGGGGCCACTCCCTGAGCCACAGACATTGCGACTTAGAGCCTGAGGAGGTGAGATGTTCACTCCAGAATACCCACTTTGTATCCCACCCCACCAGCACACACTGGCCGGGGAGCACAGCCCATCCCATAATGGACATCCAGCCACACTCCTCGGGCTGTCCCTCCCTTTCCATCCCCCTTTCTATGCTGTAGTGACTTTTCTACATGGAAAGTGAAGGGTGCCTCCCATACCCTGGCCTGTGGACGTGGGGCCACCTTGGACCCAGGGGAGTGGGGCCTCTGAGGATCACAGATCCAGCGGTCGGGGTCTCTGGGAGCCAAGGGAAGTCCTAGGACCAGCCGGGAGGGTGGGTGTACCTGGCAGGTGGTGTGGGCATCCCAGCCTCTGGACGCTAGGGTCAGCAGCTGGGGTGTGTGCTGCTCCACAAATTGGTTGCACTGAAGAAGGAGAGACACAGCAGTGGAGGGGACCCGGGCCCTTTGCAGGACATCCCTGTTGTGTGGTCCTGGCCTCTCCACATCTCTGGGTCACTCTAGGGCTCCCTCCTGACTCTTCCACCAGCCCTCACTGAACAGCTCTGGCTGCAGTTAAAATCCTTAACAAACCGGAGCCAGCTGAAATGGAGGGCTTCCATCAGAAAAGCAAGCGACACTGGAGACAGAGGGTCTTCAAACTCAGGCAGAGGCTAGGCCGGGTGGCCCACGCCTGTAATCCCAGCACTTTGGGAGGCTGAGGTTGGCAGATCACGAGGTCAAAAGTTCGAGACCAGCCTGACCAACATGGTGAAACCCCTTCTCTATTAAAAATACAAAAATTAGCAGGGCGTGATGGTGCATGCCTGTAATCTTGCCTACTCTGGAGGCTGAGGCAGGAGAATCACTTGAACCTGGGAGGCAGAGGTTGCAGTGAGCCGAGATTGTGCCACTGCACTCCAGCCTGGGTGACAGAACAAGACTCTGCCTCAAAAACAAAAACAAAAACAGAACTCAGGCAGAGAGATGGAATCCCAGCCACTTCCCTCCCCTCCACCTCCATTTTCGTTCTAGGAGGAACCTTAATATTTATCTGATCCTTGAGACCAGATGTGATGGGCAGTGGGGAGGCTTGGGATTTGCTGAGCAGGGAGTACTGTGTGGACAGCCACCTCCTTGGGAAGAGCATCAGCTGGCTTGCCTCAGGACAGCATCTCCATTTAAGAAGGGAATTTCCTGGCCAGGTGTGGTGGCTCACACCTCTAATCCCAGCACTTTGGGAGGCTGAGGCGGGTGGATTACCTGAGGTTAGGAGTTCGAGACCAGTCTGACCAACATGGTGAAACCTTCTCTCTACTAAAAATACAAAAATTAGCCAGGCGGGGTGGCGCATGCCTGTAATCCCAGCTATTCAAGAGGCTGAGGCAAAAGAATTGCCGAGAGGCTGAGGCAAGAGAACCCAGGAGGCAGAGGCTGCAGTGAACCAAGATCATGCCATTGCACTCCAGCCTGGGGGACAAGAGCGAAACGCCTTCTCAGAAAAAAAAAAAAAGAAGGGAATTTCCTGTCATTGGGTATTGTCGGGGGCCCTAGGACCTTCAAGCCCAGCCCTCTCCTTTTGCAGATGGGTTTGTCCTGAGTGAGTCACATCTTGAGGAGGGCAGGGGCAGTAATGAGATCAGGACTCCGGAGAGAAGGCCAGTCCCTTTCCTGGCTCCAGCTGGCCCTGGCATTACTCATGTCCTGGTAGATAGCTGGGCCTCTGAAGGCTCGCCTGTCGCTTACTCAGCCCGTGAAGGGGGCCTCCTGGTCCTCTGGAGCCCATAGCCCTTTGTCCAGAGGCGACTCCTGATCCTTAGCAGGCTCTGCCCTAAGTTACAGTCCCACCGTTGTGTGCCCCACATCCTGTCTGCCTGTCTGTGCTCCAGTCCGGCCCATCCTATGTGTCTCTGGCTGCGAAGTCCTTCTTGGGCTCAGCCTTCCACCTTGAACAGGCCCTGACCACAAGTCCCCGTGTGCCTGCCCCGTACCTTTTCCCTGTCCAGCCAGGAGTCAAGGCAGGTCTGGAGCATTGCCTGTGGCATGGCCCGCTCGCTGCTGTTCCCAGCCTGGGTGGTCACAGCCATGCAGAGCTGGCACTCGAAGTCTTGCAGCAGCCATTCTCCTGTCGGTGACCCTAGAGAGGCAAGGGTTAGGGGGAAGCAGGCAAGACCACCCTGCAGAGGTGTTCGGTTTCTGTCCTCCTTGGTGCATTGCAGTGGGACCAGACAGGGAGAGGGTCATGCAGGGGCAGGGACGGGGAGGAGGAGAGCGGGCATTGGGCTAAGGAGCGGGCAGTGGGCTCACCTGGGGCAGTGCTGTCATTCAGGGAGCACCGGAGGACAAGGCTGCACACCAGCTGGGGCAGCATGCGGCCCAGAAGCATGTCAAGCAGGATGACGGTGTAGCGCTCTGCCAGGCACTGGCAGATGCCGCCCGCCACCAGGGGTACCACGCGGCACACCTGGGCCACTGCCACAGCAAGCACATTCTGGGGGGGGGGGTGCGGAGAGAGGCCAGCATGGGGCCTTCACTTGGCAGCCTCCACTTTCTACCCAGCACTCAGCTAGGCACTTCCTACACGTTCCCTCATTCTCTTCTAGAAGGGAGGGCAAGGCTGTAAACAAATGACACTGGGGATTGAGAGTCCAGGGGATGCAGGGGACTCACCCAGAGTCACTGAATGTAGGAGCCAGCTTCTGACCTATGCCTGGCTCCAAAGGCTCTGGCCCACAGCTAATGACTCTCAAACTGATCCGCTGGACCTGACCTTCCCCCAAGGCTTGGGATTCAGCTGCCTACCTCACTCTCCTCTCCTGCGCTTCCCACAGGCATCTCAAACTCAGCATGGCCAGGAGGGAGCTCTCTGTTTTTCTGCTCAAACCTGTTTCTTGTTGAGTCTCTCCATCTCAGCTGCTGGCATTACAGAAGGCTGACTGCTCTGGCCGGTCTGTAAAAGTCACTGTGGATTTCCCCCTGGTCCTCATGCTCCAGGCCCATCCATGCCCAAGCGTAGTAAGCCCACCTCCCAAACTCGTCCCTAGGCCAGCCTTCAGCTCTGTTCCTGTCACATCGCCTGGTACTGTGATCTCTGCAGTGGTCTTCCTTTCCTCCCTCCCTCCCTCCTTTCCTTCTTTCCTTCCTTTGTCTTGCTCTATCACCCAGGCTGGAGGGCAGTGGTTCGATCTTGGCTCACTGCAACCTCCGCCTCCCAGGTTCAAGTGATTCTCCTGCCTCAGCCTCCCGAGTAGCTGGGACTACAGGCATGTGCTACGACACCTAGCTAATTTTTCTATTTTTTACTAATTTTTTTTTAGACGGAATTTCGCTCTTGTTGCCCAGGCTAGAGTGCAATGACGCGATCTCGGCTCACCGCAACTTCCACCTCCTGGGTTCAAGCGATTCTCCTGCTTTGGCCTCCAGAGTAGCTGGGATTACAAGCATGCGTCATCACGCCCAGCTAATTTTGTATTTTTAGTAGAGATGGGGTTTCTCCATGTTGGTCAGGCTGGTCTTGAACTCCTGACCTCAGGTGATCCGCCCACCTCCGCCTCCCAAAGTGTTGGGATTACAGGCATGAGCCACCTCGCCTGGCTAATTTTTGTATTTTTAGTAAAGACAGGGTTTCACCATGTTGCCCAGGCTGGTCTCGAGCTCCTGGGCTCAAGTGAGCCACCTGCCTCAGCCTTCTAAAGTGCTGGGATTACAGATGTGAGCTACGCGCCCGGCCTTGATGTTTCTTAACGTGGCTTGGAAAGGTCTCCCTGGCCTGGCTGTGCCTGCCTCCTGGGCCGCTGCACCGGTCTCTGCTCCTCAGGCTTGCCCAGCTTGCTCCTTCGGGAAGCCCTTTGCCTATCAGGGCTTTGTCGTCCTCTAGGTCTCGGCTTGATTGTCACCCCTCAGAGACTCTTCCTGGCATGCCAGCATCATCCCCACACTGACCATCCCTCATCCTGCTTGAATCCTCTGCGTTCTGAAAACTCCCCCACCACAGCATAAACTCTGGGAAATCAGGAACCTCACCTGCTGCTGTGAGCCGCCCATGGCTCATGCCACCCTATGTATCTGGGGAAGGCTGAGGGGGCAGGGCCTTTCCTCATTTGGGCCCCATTGTGGGTCAAGGTAGCCCGGCTGGTGGGGCCACTGGGCAACAGCCACTGTGGGTCTGGAAGACTCCAAGTTGGACTGAGGCAGGGATGAGGAATCTATCTGTGGAAATTCTTCTTGAAAAATCAAAGCAACTTTTCTACAGAGACCTCTGGGGATGCCTCTCCATCAGATGGTGAGCTGCTGGAAGACAAGGCTGCGTCTTGTCCTTTTTTGCACTTTGGCACCTGGCATTGCACCTCCATGCAGTGGGGGCTTAATGTTTGTCCCATGAACTGTAGACCTGACACCTACCAGGCATGAGTCTGAACCCCAACGTCCCCTGGGGGCAATACACAAGCGGCTCTCTCCCCTCTTAACTTCTGGCAGCCAGCTGGGCCCTGAAGGGGTGTGAGTTGGGAGGGGCGCTGCAGGGAACCCTCCTGGGCTCCGCGCTGCCCTGGATGCCTCACCTTGGGAATCATGGCCTGGATCCGCTTGATCAGAATCTTGCAGAGCCAGCAGTAGGGGAGAGGGATGGGGAATTGCTGCTCAGAGAGATCCTGGGGAGAGAATTGGGTGGAGGCCAGGCTGGGTGCTGGGAGAAGAGTCCTCTAGGCTCTCCTCCCCTCCCTTTTCCTTCCTTTCTCTCCCTCCTCCCTTAGGCCCTGCCTGGAGCTTCCCATCCCCTTCCCAGCCCTGCCTCTCCCAGGGCCCAGTGCCATGGGCTTCAGAGGTGGCCCTAGCCGTCTGGATCCCCACTCAACTGGCTGTGGGGCCTCCCTCACCTGTGTGTGAGGCCCAGGCCTCGGCTGCAGGGCCCCAGGCAGCACGGAGAGGACCAGCTTGTCAAGTAGAGGGTTGGGCAGAGGGTCTGACATCCCTGGCTCCTGCTCTGACTCTGGCTGCCAGGATTTGCACAGACCCAGGAGCATACAGATGCCCTTTGAGTTCTGGGGTACAGCACAGAGGGGGAGTGTTAGGGTCTGGGAGGGAAGCCCTCCCCTGTTCAGGCTGGCCCAAGGGCTCGGGGACCAGGACCACCGGAACGGGAGGAAGCAGGCCTAGTAGGGGTGCTGTGGTTTAGAGCTCTATGTGGGGACAAAAGGCAGAGACGGGCTGTGTGGGGACTTTAGGGCAGGTGGCCGGGATTGTGTGTGAACGAGCATGAGCATATGTGTGAGAATGAATAAGTGGGTAAGCATGTGTGTGAGTGAGGGTGTGAGGGTGTGCGAGCTCGCAGGCTCACCACATGCACCTTAACCTGGGGGCTATGGTCGGGTGCATGGCTGAAGGGCACTTAGTTTCCTAGGCCCTTTGTGGGTGGGGTGTGTGTGTGTCTGTGTGTGTGGCCAGCTGGGGTGCTCTGTGTGTGTGTGTGTGTCTGTGTGTGTCTGGCTGGTGGGGGTGCTCTGTGTGTGTGTGTATGTGTGTGTGTGTGTGTGTGTTTCTGGCTGGCTGGCTGGGGTGCTGTGTGTGTGCTGTGTTGTGTGTGCTGTGTGTGTGTCCATGTGTGTGTCCAATGGGGGTGCTGTGTGTGTGTGTGTGTGTGT